AAAGAGAGAGATCTGATTTGCAATCAAAATCAATTTAAAGCGCACAACGTAGAAATAGAGGAACACACTTGGGTGAACCAATTATTTGAAAAATGGACAACATGAAGAAAGCACTGAAAAATCTACAGAACGCGTAAGAAAATTATAGTGTGGTTAAATGCTTCAACTAAGGAAAAGTGGCCATATTGCACGCAACTGTAACCAGCCCAATAATCCAGTTGGACGTAAACACAAAGCTGAGGAAGATGAAGCAAATGTCAAATCAAACCAATCGTTAAACTAAAGCGAGCCAGCGAAAAGGGCACGGGCTGGCTCCGCAAGCAAATGCCCTGTAATCTCCATTTAACAAATAAGTAGGAATACGAATAAAGTTACCGTTAGTGGATGTGTGACGGTAAAAGCACATACAGACTGTGGATACGGGCGCATCACTTCCATAATTCGATCTGATCTGGTTAAGAAAGAAGTAAGACCGTTAGCTGGGGCAAAGTTGCATACTGCAACTGGAGAAGATACCCTAGTTATCGGAAAGGTAACGTGCGAGATCGTAATTGAAAAGGCAGTCGTGTTACATAATTTTATAGTGGCAGATATCGTTGACGAAGTCATAATTGGAGTAGACTTTCTAGCGAATCAAGGAATCAAAATTGACTTGAAAAACAGGATTATGTACTATAGAAATATGGAAGTGCCATTTATGTTCGGTTACGATAATAAGTACATTGTTAGACGAGTGATAACAACAGAGAGCCAGCAGATTCCACCAACATCAGAAGCAGTTATTTGGGCAGAAATAGATGGAGACTATGGAGACTATGGATCAAACAAGTGGTGGATTGTTAAAGCCACAAAAGAATCTACACCAAACTTACTTATAGGCAAAACCCTGGCTATAACAAGAAAAGATAAACGTGTTCCAGTAAGAGTACTTAATGAGTGCAAGTTACCAATCAAACTCTCTAAAGGAGCTGTATTAGGGCAGTGTCAAGAGATTGAGGCCGTGATAAATTGCGAAATCATCAACGATATATCGAGCGAAATTAACGCATGGACCGAGGAACTAGAGGCAAACTATCAAACTACGGTTAAACAACTTCTTCCCAGATACTCATCCATATTTGATAAAGACGATGCCAAACCAGGAAGAACCAAAGTTGTGAAACATTTTATTAACACAGGTGAAGTTGTAAGCCAGACCATACGTGAAATGAGCAAAAGCGGCGTAATCGAACCATCAGAGAGTCCGTGGAGCTCACCTGTAGTTCTTGTGAAGAAGAAAGATGGCAACATGAGATTTTGTGTAGACTATAGAAGGTTGAATGATGTAACGAAGAAAGACAGTTATCCACTACCTAGAATCGATGACACGATTGACTCGTTATCAGGTACAAAATGGTTCCCAACACTTGATTTAAAAAGTGGTTATTGGCAAATGGAAGTAAACGAAGGAGACAAAGAAAAGACGGCTTTCAGCGTTGGAGATTGTCTATAGCAATTTACCGTAATGCCCTTTGGAGTATGTAACGCTCCTGCTACTTTTGAGAGACTTGTGGACCAGGTCTTAATAGGATTACACTGGAAGACCTGTTTGGTATACCTCGATGATATCGTCGTGTTGGGTAAAAGCTTCGATGAGCACTTTAAGAACTTGGAAGAGGTTTCCCAACGGATAGCTAGCGCTGGTCTGAAGCTGAGTCCAAAGAAGTGTTCCCTTTTCAAAAAGGAAGTAAGCTACTTATGACACAAAGTGACAACAGAGGGCATTTGCACAGCTAATGAAAAGATCGAGGCAGTAAGAGATTGGTCCAGTCCTAAAAATTTACATGAATTGCGGAATTTCCTTGGACTATGTACTTATTATAGACGATTCGTTCCAAATTTTTCCAGCGTAGCTAGTAGCCTTCATGAACTCACGAAAAAGAACAGAGTTTTTGAATGGAATAAAGAACAGGAAGTAGCTTTCCAAACTCTGAAGAAATGGTTAAATATTGCGCCAATGTTGGCATACCCGGTCCCAGGATCAACGTTTATTTTGGATACGGATGCTAGTGGATTTGCAGTAGGAGGCGTTCTATCACAAGTCATTGATGGGCATGAGAAAGTGCTTGAGTATTATAGCCAGACCATAAGCAAGCCAGAGAGAAATTTTTATGTTACTCGGAGGGAATTACTGGCGTTGGTGAAGTTCATCAAACATTTTCATAAGTACCTTTATGGCCAGCGATTTCGGTTCGAGGACAGATCATGCAGCATTAAAATGGCTTCTACAATTCAGGAACCCAGAAGGACAGTTGGCACGGTGGATTTAGAGACTCCAAAGTTACGACTTCTCTATAGAACATCGCAAAGGTAGTAGTCATGGCAATGCTGATGCCATGTCCCGCCGTCCCTGTAATCTGGAATGCAGACATTGTTCAAAAGCTGAGGCCTAAGAAGACATTATAGATGTCCGATTAATGACTTATGAGCGATAAGATGAAAGCAAAATATGACAAGGCAATAAACTCTGAGGATATTAAAGGCGATTGGGTATTGTTATATAACCCACAACGAAAGAAAGGGCTGTCTCCCAAATTACAGTGTAATTGGGAAGGACCATACCAGGTTATTAAACGACTCAATGATGTAGTGTATCGCATACAGACCATTGGAAGACCAAGGAATAAAATGAAGATGGTTCATCTGGAACGGCTTGCAGCGTTTGGTACCGCAAATATGTCTAATCGGGACGTTCAGACTTAGATAGGGGGCAGTGTGGCGAACACGAGTACCAGAACAAATCAGAATTGACGATAAACTGCCAGAAAGAACTAGACAGCGAATTCGTAGTTGCCAGAATGTTCTAGTAACGAACTTTTGTTAAAAATTTACTATATAAGGGCTGCCGGATTGTGCAGTAGAGACAAGACAAAGAGCAATTAAGCAATAAGCAATAAGTTGTAAGTTCGAATAGCGAGCAATAAGTGTTAAGTAGTTGGAATTGGAAATAAAGATAAGTGTATAGCATTAAATTGGGACTTTAATTTAACAATCCAGTGATCGAGCTCAAGAGTGAGTTATAGTTAGACGATTTATCGAGAAATGCGGTACAGTATATAAGATTAATATGATGGAAGATGTTCATACATACATATGTACTTATATGTTGTAATAAATTTAGTCTCTATTAGTAACAATTATAATATTAATTCAAGTAATTTTATACAATGTCAACAAATGTTTATAGAAAAATTAGTTTGAAAATATTAAAAATGTTAAGACACGTTTAGAAATTAATTTTAGAAATTTATGTAAAATGAATTAAAATTTTTCAAAATTTTAAAATACGGCTACAAATGTATATAAGAAATTGACGTAATATTAATTAAAAATGTTATTCCAAGAATTTGCGCAGAGGGAAGAAGGTAGAAGCAAGAAGGTAGTTACTGACAGATTTGAAATGTGAGTTAAGAAATTTATTAATTTTATTGTTACGAATTAACTTGTCTTTATTTCTATGGTGGAAAACATAAAAATAGAACACAAAATGCCATTATTATTGAGTTTATGGAAAAAAATTCAGATATTTTAAGAGATTTACAAAACGTAATTTAACACCATAACAAATGCGTCTTTATTCAGTCGATAATGTGATATACGGCAATGCAAACTGCACAGGATGCATGATGCAAGCAGTACGAAAAAGCACACCTGGCATTACTGTCGCATCTGTTGCCCTAAAACTCGCACAAAAATTACACGAAAATCAACTGTGCTAGCTAAAATGTCATTTTAAGTTATTTGTGTTAAATATAAATATAATATTATTGTTTTAATATATTTGTGAACTTTCGCAATTAAATAATAAATTTCTTTTTTTGTTTTTTCATCCATTCTCTTTTTGTATCTTTTAATCGAAAACGGTCACTATCTAACTCGTCAGTGAGAGTATTAATAAGAAATATTCCTCAAATTTTTATGTCTGTAAATGTAAATTTTTAAATGCGCAGTTTAGCAGTTTCATGCAAGAGCATCAGCTAGCATAAAATTAGGAGTACAAACTGCGCAGTGTTGCAAGTGTTTACTACAATACCGATAAGCCCATATGTAAAGTAAGCATGTAAAGACATAGAAATATCCCTGCAAGACGGAGGTAATTAATTCACTACTACAATTTCACTACAAATTTCAGCTCTTACACATCTACATATTCAAAACTAACTTTAAATAGAAAATTCTGTTGTAAGAGTAGGAACATTCATCATGCATAATTTTTAATGCGACTTACATACAGACCACCATTTTCCATCAATAATGGCCGGCATTATTTGCAAAAAAAATGTTTAGCCCTTTTTTGATAAGTTTGTTAAATTTTATTTTATTTATTTTGTGGATTCAAAAGGTGTTGATTAAGAAGTCACTTCTTGAATTTTACGTTGTTTCTAAAGAATTGATTAAATATAGTTGTAGAAGATGGATGAAAACTCTCCATGCGCTACCCGAGCTGGAAATCGAGTGGTAACAATTGTGTCGCTATCGTGAAGCGATATATATTTTTCGCAATGGTGAATTCAAGGTCGGTTGCCTTATTTTCTCCTTTAAGGTTGGAAATTTACAGCGCATGACTTGGAATGTTCGAAAGATTTTACACATAAACAAGCGCATGTCCACAGAGATGTCGGCACTGCAAGTACCTAACGGCGTATGCGATCTCTTGCAGAGCTGTGTCATTGTGGTGGGACACGATCGTCTTTCGAAACAGACCAATGAGAACGCCATACTGCTGTTTCGTGTTAGGTGGCTCCACGTTTTGCACGAAGTATGTAGTGGAGAACTTCCGTCTGTGGGCTGAGGCGTTCGAATGGTTGATTGGTGATATTAAAACGTGTTTTCAGCAGGCATTAGCCAACTCTAATGAAATAGTGGGCGCTCTGGTCGCCCAGAGTTTGGATGAACGTGCTTTACAGGTAAGAAGGTAAGGTACTTATTTATTTACTTTGTGTATTTTTTAAGTGTTTTTAGATGATACTCAACACTTTCCATTTTGCTGATGTGTGGACAAATAACGTAACATTAGACGTCTAAAGGAAATCATTAATATCTCCAAGAAACCAAAACGCTCTTCTTATAGTATTCCTTACTCAGAGGATCAAGAATTCGTAAATGTCTACTATAAGATGCCCGCTTCCAATCCAACACGTATTTCGCCATGGTTGCTGCGAATCAAATTGAAGTATTCCAATTGTTGGGCACAGCGGTGAGTAAATCGGTTGAGAAGGCAATAAAAGCTGTGCTGCTGTTCTACGGCTTGTACGTGAACTATCTTTATTTGGCCGTCACACGAGGTAATGACAGCTTACTAGATATTATACAAGTAAGTAAATTATATAACTCTTCTGGATGTTATATTAATTGAGGCCATATATCGGCTTTATAGTAACATACAATTATAAATAATACCTATAATCATAACTGGCCAATATTGTATGTTTCTAAGTTGAATATGTATATATACTTTATTTATTGGTATCGTTATTAAAAATTGCTTCTTCTGGTTCATTTTAGCACAAAATTAAAAGTGGAAGATTTCTTCACCATAACCAAAAATTTTTTGTTTGGTTTGGAAATGTTAATAACTGAAATTTTAAAATTTTGTTTGGTTATCTAACATAGGTAGCCCATGTTAATCATTTGAACAGAACAGAAGATTCGATGTTAAAATTTCAGTAAAATTTTTCTTAACATTCCTTAACATGTAGCACACGTTACCACCGTAAATAGCACATCTACGTGTGTTAAGTATCATGTTAAATATTGTAGCCCTCAACTTTTTACATGAATAGTGTACAAACATGCATGCAATTTTTTTAAATATAATATAGATACTTTAACAAATACAAAAAAAAAAGAATTATCTTTAATTCTTTTTTGTTCGTTTTAGATATTTGTAAATTTCGATGGAAAGTTCTCAAGCTGGACTTCAATATCATCATTTAATTTTTTAAATTAAAATCTGATTGAGAAATAAAAATTTGGCAGTATTAAAACTCTTTTTAAATAATTTAACATCATGAAACAAAATGCAGTCGAGAAAATACAATAATTTTTTTTAATTGTGAAAAATACTAATTTGAAAATTCATGAAAAGGGATAAACCAAATCGCCTTTTTTATTTTAAATAAAGCATTCGTATCGAGTGAAATTTCATAACGTGTCGAGTATGCGTGTCGCCGCACTCGAAGCAAAACGAATAGAAATTTGATACAATAACTTCCCTGGTTTGGCTCCAAATGACATTTACTAATAACACGAAATGCGAAAAGCCGAACAAAACGAAAAAGTATTTGAATTGAATTTAAACGTAAATATTCAAATTTATTATACGTTTATATAGAAATTTATTTAATTTAGTTTTTTGAGGAACTAAAAGTAACCCTATCGTATTGTTTTATATAAGTTCATCAGATTCAGATGCTATAAGGTGTAAGATTCGGGATAAAAACAATTCCATGGCTTTACCTGAAGCAGCGTAAGTTAATATATAAATATTATTCAGGAAGCGGTTTAGACTGAGTTAATATATAAATATATAAGTAAGTTAACATATAAATATATCGTATAAATTACTATTTTAAATCATTTACAGATTCAGGAAGCGGTTTAGACTGACCAATGATCCAATTGATTTTATCCTATCGGAATGAAAATTGCGGCATTTATCAACCGCAGTACCACCAATGCTTTATATAGCAGCGACTTTGACTTTCTTGGCGTATTTTTAGTTGGTATGTAAAGTGTGTAAAATTTTGAAATGGGAACGAAACTTTGTCAACATTTCATTAGGTTTTCGCTAGACCATTTATCTCAGGGCACAGAATACTTTGTTCAAAAATATAAACTTCTAAGAGGTAGGTTTGTCGACTAAATGATGATGATTCTGCGCACAGGAGTTTTTGGAGGATGTATGCGATCAATATAAGTTGAAAAATTACAGGATTTTGGGTAATGCGAGTATATGTACTTATACAGATACTCTATAAATATAGGTTTATCTACGTAGTTTCTTAATTAACAGGAGATTCTGGATATCCCTTGGAGCCCTCGAGCCAAGCGCTGTTTAATGAATTCCATGCAAAAGCACTGGATTGTTGGACGAACCATTGGTATACTGAAGGGCCGATGGCCTTGATGCTGTAGCATGAAATCACTCTTCAAAAAGTTTTGGCGCATGTTAATTTTGTTTATATGTGTCCTTAAATCATTAGTTCTAATTGTAAAATATTTTAAATATAATCTATAAAATAAAAATAATATACATTTTGAGACTGATTATTTTTGCATTTTTTTTAACTCGTACTATTACGAAAGTTAGCTTACGAGTCAAGATTTCGATTTCTTCATACGAACGTATACTCGCTATCGTTTGACGAAATTTGAAATACGAAAGTTTGTACTTTGTACACTTTCTTTGTAGTCACCCACTTGACTACATTCAGAACAACTACCTTTCCAGTCTGCGATTGCACACATGTAACAAAAGCTCCAGTGGGAGCATCGCAGCAAAACAAACGAATGTCAAATTTCTTTTTAACAGGATAAACACTAATCTTCTTCGCAAAATTCGTTTAAAAAATCATTGATTTTTCAAGGTTTTTTGTTTTAGAAAGGCATGCAATTGTAAATGGTGATTCGTTTTGAAAATCAAGTATGGACACTAAAATAGGCCACAATACCTTATTCGAACTTTTAAATAATTTAAGGTCATATATTCCTACATCAAGTACAATGTTATCCTTTTTTTCAAGTTGGGGAAATGAATTATTCTCAAAATGATTTTAATTCCTTTATATAAAAAAAGATCCACCTGTTTGAATATTTACCTTTTTAAGGTACCAGCCGAAAACTTTTAGCTGTTAAGATAAATCTGTGTAACCTATTTTTCGCAACGTTTGCAACAGATCTGTTAGTTGTTGTTGAACTTCTGCACCTCCCGCGAAGCTTGTCTTCTCTTCGAGATTTGTCATATGATAATAAAGCCACTTAAGATGACGCTGAGAGCAATACCGGCGATACTCCATGTATTGAATGAGTCGGTGGACGCCAGCTCTTCTTTAACATCTTGGATGACACGAAGATTGACATTGTTCATTCTATGGAGTTGCGGCATACTCAAGACTGGGTCGTGACTAACGATGTTAAGCAGCGGTGATCCCGCTATGCCTGGCTTCCTATTTAGTATCTCACACTGGTTCACATATTTCGTTCCATTGATAATTGCGGAGAAACGGAAGGTGACCCGTTCGTAATGATCTCTTGGCCATCTTCTGTACTGGCCCTTGCTATGCTCTCGTTGATAATTATGATTCCATCATTTACTTGCGAGATAAGCTTTAGGTGGCTTGGCTGAGTGCGGCAGGAGGCCACGCTCGTGCACAGGTGTCTTGTGCCGTTAACTTGCAAACGGATGCCAATGATGTTGTTACGCATTTGTTAACCGCTAGTACGTCATCGTTGCATTCGGCTACGGTGTCATCTTGTAGTTGTAGTGTTACATGTTGATGTGATACCGGGAAAATGGTGACTCTGGTCAGATAAACTTAATACCAGGGTAGGCTATGAGTATATCAATTATATTCTCGGACTGTAGGACTTTAATCTTAGATGCTTCAGTTAGGCTAACTATGGGGATCTCTACGGGGTGTTCCTTTAAGATATCCTCCAAATCTTCATGATCAAAAATAGTGGGATTTATTATGTTAGCCTTAGCCAATGTAATTGTGAGAATCAAGTTTGAAATCTGGTTTATTAACATTATATTTCTCGTTAATAATGTTTCATATAAATGCAGTGTGTCAACCAACTCATTCTTTTTTTGGAGTTTACTCCTTAAGAATCGTTTTTCATATAAGGCGCCCGGTATGAAAAAATATGAGGAGTGAAATCTACTGATGAATGACCTCAAATGAACTCGGTAACGTTTTCGCGCGCATCATTTCTCCCAACTTTTCAGTTGTGTATACTTTTATGTATACTTTGTGTAGAGTTATTGTTGTTATGACTACAGCGCCACCTATACTAATATTATAGTCTATACACTACACGGTCAGCTGATTGGTACGAGCGCCGCCATATTAGATTGGTTGCAGTGATATGGATAGCCAGCATTAATTTTGTTGTTCTTCTATTTTAAAGTGTTATTATTTTATTGATATTAATTTATTATTTTATTTATTTTTGTCTTTCAGCAACTGCAGCCAACCCACGAACTTGATTTCTGCCACAATTTTAATTCCGATTTTATTTAATTTTTACATTTTTTATTTTTGAGTATTAAACATGCGGTCCCGGAAGGTGTGCAACAAAGTACTTAAACTTCCAAATAAGCAAGAAAAAGTGAATACAGTTACAAAATATATTTCTGTGCTGAGTAATTAAACAAAAACGAGTAATATGGCAGCATTGAAATCAAGTTTGCACGCGTATGCGCAGGCACAGCGAGCCAAGGCACATACAATATATGACAGATACGTGTCTATATATTATGCCTGTGTGTAATATGTACACTGCTCTTGGCAATGGCTGACAGTTGCTTGTCGATATTCAGTTACAACGGTCAACAGAGGCCTATTTATGATATAGATTCACAGGGTCATCGAAATCAAGTTAATGTAGAAGAAATTCCTGATCCGCATCAACACCTTCTTCAAGATCCTAATTCAAGAATCAACGATGACGTTTAGCAGCGGCGATGATCGATGTCGCAAATGGTTTAGCCAATGGGACAGTTGGTAAATTGTCATATGTTGAGTTGAATACTCAAAATGAAGAACTGCGAGTTTGGCTTCTATTTCCAAAAGGAGTTGGTGTTAAGGCTCGTGGAAAAGAGTTGGCTACGCGAACGCAAAAGGAATCAGTACAGAATTAGTTCCTATCAACCGTAGATCTGCAACAGTACCTCTTAATCGAAATAAATCCATCCATGCGAAAAGAATTCATTTGCCACTCAAACCGGCTTGCGCATTGACTATTCACAAGTCACAAGGGCGAACATTTGATGAAATTGTGTACAAATACAGCAAGACACATTCGCAGTCTTTGGTCTACGTAGCCTTATCCAGAGTCACGTCTCAAGAAGGCCTTTATATTGTTTCTACTGATGCCCGTCAACGTTTTTATCATGGTAGACAACGCCCTGTGTGCGCGATTATGTTCAGTGATGATAATTTCAGTTTGTTCATCTTTGTTTGTTATGTCGACAACGACATTCTTGCAGTGGCAGAACTTAGTTGCCGGAAAAACCCAATCATGTTGTATACTGGCCAACGTAGGTAAATCATAGTATATCGCGTTTATTGAGTTGTTATCTGTAAAATTTAAGAAATCTGCTCACTTGAACCAGTAAATGGTGAAATAAAAAACGTACAACTCGATCATTCAAATGAAGAGGAATATGATGAAATGATCAAAATAATAAAACGATTTAATAGGTTATATTTCAATAAAGGGGATGTACCTACTAGTACAATGAAAATTCCACAAGAAATTAGGACGATACATGAAATTAGGTCGAATGAAAAAATAAATTCAAAACTTTATAGATATTCACATCAACATGAGAAATAGGTAAGAAAACAAACTAGAGAAATGGAAGAACAAGGAATCATTACAAAAAGTTCATCAAGATATTCAAGCCCTTTAAAAGTTGTTCCAAAAAAAATGGATAACCCAGGCATCAAAAAATTTAAGCTCGTTGTAGATTCTAGAAAATTAATTGAAATAACAATAGATGACAAATAGCCTTTGCCCAATATTGATTCAATATAAGATAAATTAGAACGTGCCCAATAACTATAGATAGCAAAAGGGTATCACCAAATTTTAGTAAAAAAAAAAATAAAGTAAAAACGGCATTTGTAACGCCACATGGTTTATATGAATTTATAAGAATGCAATTCGTGCTGAAGAATGCACCAGCCACTTTCCAACGGCTGATGAACGAAATTTTAAGAGATTATATCAATAAAATATGCGTTGTCTACTTAAACAATATTTTGATTTTTGCCACATCTTTAAATGAACAGATAAGCCATAACAGATATGTTCAAAGTCCTTTAAAATCAAAATTTAAAAATTCAAATAGATAAATGTAATTTTATGAAAAAGGAAACATAATTTTTATGAATGAATACCCAGTCCAAACAAAATTAAGGTAATAAATAATCTCTTTCTATAGAAAGTTTAGTAAAGATTATGCGAAGGTAGCCAGTCCAATTTCAAAGTATCTAAAAAAGGAGCTAAAATCAATATAAAAGATCCCACGTATATCGAAGCATTCGAAAAATTTAAAACGTTATTAAGTACACATCCGGTTTTGCGTTATCCAGATTTTGAGAAACAATTTACGTTAACAGCAGAGCCTATAGCCCTCATATACCTAATATTATATAAAGATTTTTGAACTTCCGGGTGACTTTATACCGCATATATCGGCCAATATGTGAGTTATCTCAATGAAAATGAGAGAGTGTTTTACTCACAACAACGTATTTTTGTGCCTTAAATTGATGAAATCGGGTAAAAAAAGCCCCTATGTAGCTAATATCAATATTTTCGAACATTCGTCTGACTTTACTCCATATGATTGGTGATGGTATGTGAGGTACCTTAATGAAACAGTGAGAGCATTTTATTAGTCTGTGGCATGTTAGTAGTATGTAGTATTGGCAAAAATTGATAAAATCTGGTTAATACTAGCCTTTACTTTCATATACCACTAATACTTTTCGTTGTTCTAATCAGTTTTATGACGAATATGTCGGTCAGTGAGTATTAACATTTTTATACTCTCGCAACCTGTTGCTACAGAGTATAATAGTTTTGTTCACCTAATGGTTGTTTGTATCACCTAAAACTAATCGAGTTAGATATAGGGTTATATATACATATATAAATGATCAGGATGAAGAGACGAGTTGAAATCCGGGTGACTGTCTGTCCGTCCGTCCATCTGTCCGTCTGGCCGTCCGTGCAAGCTGTAACTTGAGTAAAAATTGAGATATCTTTATGAAACTTGGTAGACATGTTTCTTGGTACCGTGAGACGGTTGGTATTGCAGATGGGCGTAATCGGACTACTGCCACGCCCACAAAACGCCATTAATCAAAAACAAATAAATTGCCATAACTAAGCTCCGCAATAAGATACAAGACACAAGGTACACAGGATCACATTAGGGAGGGGCATCTGCAGTTGAAAAATTTGTTTACAAGTGTGCGTGGTCCCGCCTCTAATAGGATTAATGTGCATATCTCCTAAACCGCTAATGAT